ATAAAATATATATAAAAAAAACTCACTTTGAGAGTTTAAAACTTTAAGAATTGAGAAAAAAAAATATTGACGTGCTTAACAACGTGAGAGTGGCCGTGGTGTTGACTTGTTTAATGTTACATATTGCAATCGTGTTTAACCACGTCAGGTGAGGGCTGTGGAAGTGTGGGTTGTCAGGTGGGAGGGCTGTGGAAGTGTGGGTTGTCAGGTGGGGGGCTGTGGAAGTGTGGGTTGTCAGGTGGGGGCTGTGGAAGTGTGGGTTGTCAGGTGGGGGGCTGTGGAAGTGTGGGTTGTCAGGTGGGGGGGGGGGGCTGTGGAAGTTTGGGTTGTCAGGGTGGGGGGGGGCTGTGGAAGTTTGGGTTGTCAGGGTGGGGGGGGGGCTGTGGAAGTTTGGGTTGTCAGGTGGGGGGGGGGCTGTGGAAGTTTGGGTTGTCAGGTGGGGGGGGGGCTGTGGAAGTTTGGGTTGTCAGGTGGGGGGGGGGCTGTGGAAGTTTGGGTTGTCAGGTGGGGGGGGGGCTGTGGAAGTTTGGGTTTGTCAGGTGGGGGGGCTGTGGAAGTGTGGGTTGTCAGGTGGGGGGGCTGTGGAAGTGTGGGTTGTCAGGTGGGGGGGCTGTGGAAGTGTGGGTTGTCAGGTGGGGGGGCTGAGGAAGTGTGGGTTGTCAGGTGAGGGGGGGCTGAGGAAGTGTGGGTTGTCAGGTGGGGGGCTGTGGATGTGTGGGTTGTCAGGTGGGGGGGCTGTGGATGTGTGGGTTGTCAGTGGGGGGGCTGTGGAAGTGTGGGTTGTAAGGTGGGGGGGCTGTGGAAGTGTGGGTTGTCAGGTGGGGAGGGCTGTGGAAGTGTGGGTTGTCAGGTGGGGAGGGCTGTGGAAGTGTGGGTTGTCAGGTGGGGGGGCTGCGGAAGTGTGGGTTGTCAGGTGGGGAGGGCTGTGGAAGTGTGGGTTGTCAGGTGGGGAGGGCTGTGGAAGTTGTGGGTTGTCAGGTGGGGGGACTGCGGAAGTGTGGGTTGTCAGGTGGGGGGGGCTGTGGAAGTGTGGGTTGTCAGGTGGGGAGGGCTGTGGAGTGTAGGTTGTCAGGTGGGGAGGGCTGTGGAAGTGTGGGTTGTCAGGTGGGGAGGGCTGCGGAAGTGTGGGTTGTCAGGTGGGGGGCTGCGGAAGTGTGGGTTGTCAGGTGGGGGGCTGCGGAAGTGTGGGTTGTCAGGTGGGGGGGGTGTGGAAGTGTGGGTTGTCAGGTGGGGGGGGTGTGGAAGTGTGGGTTGTCAGGTGGGAGGGCTGTGGAAGTGTGGGTTGTCAGGTGGGAGGGCTGTGGAAGAGTGGGGTTGTCAGGTGGGGAGGGCTGTGGAAGTGGGGGTTGTCAGGTGGGGGGGGCTGTGGAAGTGTGGGTTGTCAGGTGGGGGGGCTGTGGAAGTGTGGGTTGTCAGGTGGGGGGCTGTGGAAGTGTGGGTTGTCAGGTGGGGGGCTGTGGAAGTGTGGGTTGTCAGGTGGGGGGGCTGTGGAAGTGTGGGTTGTCAGGTGGGGGGCTGTGGAAGTGTGGGTTGTCAGGTGGGGGGGGGCTGCGGAAGTGTGGGTTGTCAGGTGGGGGGCTGCGGAAGTGTGGGTTGTCAGGTGGGAGGGCTGCGGAAGTGTGGGTTGTCAGGTGGGAGGGCTGTGGAAGTGTGGGTTGTCAGGTGGGGGGCTGTGGAAGTGTGGGTTGTCAGGTGGGGGGCTGTGGAAGTGTGGGTTGTCAGGTGGGGGGCTGTGGAAGTGTGGGTTGTCAGGTGGGGGGCTGTGGAAGTGTGGGTTGTCAGGTGGGGGGCTGTGGAAGTGTGGGTTGTCAGGTGGGGGGCTGTGGAAGTGTGGGTTGTCAGGTGGGGGGGGGCTGTGGAAGTTTGGGTTGTCAGGTGGGGGGGGGCTGTGGAAGTTTGGGTTGTCAGGTGGGGGGGCTGTGGAAGTGTGGGTTGTCAGGTGGGGGGCTGTGGAAGTGTGGGTTGTCAGGTGGGGGGGCTGTGGAAGTGTGGGTTGTCAGGTGGGGGGGCTGTGGAAGTGTGGGTTGTCAGGTGGGGGGGCTGAGGAAGTGTGGGTTGTCAGGTGAGGGGGGGCTGAGGAAGTGTGGGTTGTCAGGTGGGGGGCTGTGGATGTGTGGGTTGTCAGGTGGGGGGGCTGTGGATGTGTGGGTTGTCAGGTGGGGGGGCTGTGGAAGTGTGGGTTGTAAGGTGGGGGGGCGTGTGGAAGTGTGGGTTGTCAGGTGGGGAGGGGCTGTGGAAGTGTGGGTTGTCAGGTGGGGAGGGCTGTGGAAGTGTGGGTTGTCAGGTGGGGGGGCTGCGGAAGTGTGGGTTGTCAGGTGGGGAGGGCTGTGGAAGTGTGGGTTGTCAGGTGGGGGGGCTGTGGAAGTGTGGGTTGTCAGGTGGGGGGGACTGCGGAAGTGTGGGTTGTCAGGTGGGAGGGCTGTGGAAGTGTGGGTTGTCAGGTGGGGAGGGCTGTGGAAGTGTAGGTTGTCAGGTGGGGAGGGCTGTGGAAGTGTGGGTTGTCAGGTGGGGAGGGCTGCGGAAGTGTGGGTTGTCAGGTGGGGGGCTGCGGAAGTGTGGGTTGTCAGGTGGGGGGCTGCGGAAGTTTTGGGGTTGTCAGGTGGGGGGCTGCGGAAGTGTGGGTTGTCAGGTGGGGGGGCTGTGGAAGTGTGGGTTGTCAGGTGGGGGGGGCTGTGGAAGTGTGGGTTGTCAGGTGGGAGGGCTGTGGAAGTGTGGGTTGTCAGGTGGGGAGGGCTGTGGAAGTGTGGGTTGTCAGGTGGGGAGGGCTGTGGAAGTGTGGGTTGTCGGTGGGAGGGCTGTGGAAGTGTGGGTTGTCAGGTGGGGGGCTGTGGAAGTGTGGGTTGTCAGGTGGGGGGCTGTGGAAGTGTGGGTTGTCAGGTGGGGGGCTGCGGAAGTGTGGGTTGTCAGGTGGGGGCTGTGGAAGTGTGGGTTGTCAGGTGGGGGCTGTGGAAGTGTGGGTTGTCAGGTGAGGGGCTGCGGAAGTGTGGGTTGTCAGGTGGGGGGCTGCAGAAGTGTGGGTTGTCAGGTGGGGGGGCTGCGGAAGTGTGGGTTGTCAGGTGGGGGGACTGCGGAAGTGTTGGATGTCAGGTGGGGGCTGCGGAAGTGTTGGATGTCAGGTGGGGGCTGCGGAAGTGTTGGATGTCAGGTGGGGGCTTCGGAAGTGTTGGATGTCAGGTGGGGGCTGCAGAAGTGTTGGATGTCAGGTGGGGGCTGCGGAAGTGTTGGATGTCAGGTGGGGGCTGCGGAAGTGTTGGATGTCAGGTGGGGGCTGCGGAAGTGTTGGATGTCAGGTGGGGGCTGCGAAAGTGTTGAATGTCAGGTAGGGGCTGCGGAAGTGTTGGATGTCAGGTGGGGGCTGCGGAAGGGTTGGTTGTCAGGTGGGGGCTGCGGAAGTGTTGGTTGTCAGGTGGGGGCTGCGGAAGTGTTGGTTGTCAGGTGGGGGCTGCGGAAGTGTTGGTTGTCAGGTGGGGGCTGCGGAAGTGTTGGTTGTCAGGTGGGGGCTGCGGAAGTGTTGGATGTCAGTGTTAGCATCAGTGCATTATAAAGATCTTGGTAATTATGTAACACTGTGTTTCTAGGTAGATTGTAGGTTGTGTTAGGTTAGGTTATGGTAACATTGTATGTTTACTCATGTGGACCGTTGCAGTACTAGTGTTGAATAAACCATACCACGGGCGGGATTTGAACCCGCGATCAGTGTATCTCAAAACTCCAGAACGTCGCGTTAGCCACTGGAGTTTTGAGACTCCGACCACGGGTTCAAATCCCGCCCGTGTTATGGTTTGTTTGCAATCGTGTCATTACGATTTCGTGAGTCTAGTGTTGAATATTCTCTCATAACATGTACCATTTCATGGTATCTTTATATTGCATCTTTTAATAGTTTTAAATAAAATATATAAAAAAATAACGATTTACGTGAGAAAAATAAGGGGTGGTACATACTTTAGAAATTAATGGGTGTAGATAAGGTATTAAAAGTTATCGATGAAAATTGAGACTAAATTAAAGGTCTGGTAGCAGACAAGAGTAATATTATAGGTTGCTTAATAAGGTATATGAAGACTTAAGAGTAGAGAAGAAAGCTTTACCAGTTATATAAAGTTAATGTTGACCATAATTAAAAAAACCAGTTAGTCCCTATTGGTAAATTTTAGTGTTACTCAAGCTGCGACGCCTCCTGCACAAGTGTTATTATCACTATATCAATGTTTAATTCGGTGACTTGTAAAACTACGACTCACGAAAACGTAATAACACTATTGCAAAACCCACGGAACAAGTGAGGATTAAACTCACGGCTTACGCACTTGCTATGGGTTCAAACCCCACCCGTTCCGTGGTTTATAAAATAGCTTTCTTCAGTTACTGAGGAAAAAAACTCGCTTGTTCGTATACGGAAGTTAGCGGAAATGTCTGTTATAGTATCTTAAGTAGAAACAGGAAGATAATACGTTAAACACAGTGGTTTAGATTCTCTTTAACGGAAACAGTATTGATGTTAATACTAGTCTACAACTGAGGTTTTAAGAGGAACAATTTAAAACTAGAGAGCTTACAGGAAATGTTAAAATAGTTAGATTTGTTAAATAAAATGTTAACTGTGTTAATAAACTAAAGTGAGAAACACTCCTGGACAGATGCTGGGGGTAAGATTTTAAACAGGGACAAGTATTACAATGCTGAAGAAATATATACAAAGTAATTACATGTAAAGGACGTAAACAATTACAAAGGTGTAGGACTAATATACTAGATTCAATAAGTTAGATGAGCGCTGAAAGAAGTTACTGTATGGTACCAGCTTGTTTACCTGGAGTTTACTTGGAGACAGTTCCGGGGATCAACGCCCCCGGAAAATCTGGAAATGCCATTTCAGACATTATCAACGTATTCTAATTGTGAACATGTCTAGAGATCCTAAAGGAATTACTTAAAAGATGCATTTTAATATATTTAAATACACTATATCGGCATGCGATATAAAAAAAACTACGAACCTAAAATGTGGATTACCAACACTTTCCAAAAGTCATTTCCAAAGAAAAAAAATAGATTTTAGCCTTTTGAAAACTACAATTATACTAGTTGGGTGACGGAGGACGCTGGAAATAAAACGTATAATGTGAAATGTTTTAAATAAACTTTCGATAAAACCTTGTTAAACTACCCACAAGAACTACGTCTCAAACGTGTAATACAAACAATAATATTACCTTGTTGGGACCTAACAGGCATAACATCTATGTTCAAAGATTTTTCCCATAAACACTAAAATCAGCCACAGAATTAATATAGGAGAGTGTGAGTAAAGCCACACAGTTATTGACTGACCTGGCGACTCAGGTGTTACCCCAACACCTGAAGCTTCGAAGCTTCAGATATCGAAATTCATCAAAGTGATTTCAAATTATTTTTTTTTATATTTTATTTAAAAAGTACATCAGAGCACATAAATAACACACAGGTCGTATCCGTCAACAGCTGTAATGGACTTCCCATGGCCATTTAATACCACATACAACTGTAAAAGTTATACATCATGCAAGAAAAATTATCTAATGAAAACACTAACAATAACCAAGATAAGGAGAGTATTGATACATACTTCCGTACAAACTACATCAAAAGTAAAGCCAGATATTCTTTACTATGACATAACATCATAAGAATTAATATAGGAGAGTGTGAGTAAAGCCACACTGTTGTTGACTGACCTGGCGACTCAGGTGTTACCCCAACACCTGAAGCTTCGAAGCTTCAGATATCGAAATTCATCAAAGTGATTTGAAATTATTAGTTTGTAAAGCCATAAAGACTGCTCGTGACTTAGTGGTATATATACAGAAATATACATCACAGTGTATATACACCACAAGGTGTGATTCTCGATGTATTTATGCCCTGTTTTGGGAATTGTATTCATTACGTGGTGTACTAATGCTGGTTTAATGACCCTAGTCTAGTCAATAGGCTTTAAACTTACACTTTAGTTCAATTATTTTACTTTATTTAAAACTGTGATACATATAACAAATAATGTTCATTTTAAACTTGCAAAAAAACGTGAAGAAATTATCAGTGCATAAGACTGACAGCGAAATAACAAAGGAGCAATACACCGGCATAAATTAGCAAACAAACATAATGGCAATGGAAATAAGTCACTTTGTCTGACTTTTTTGGGTCATCCCAGTTTCTCTACACATATGTTGCTATGTTTGATAATCTATGTAACTATTTGTGTATACCTGAATAAACTTACACAAAGTGCAATCCTTGAACAATATAAACACAACACAAAATACACTGACACAAAGTACCCACTACCAAACACCCAAAAAGCAAAAAAAAAATTAGACAAAATTACGGCTGCCCCTGCCGCCTTAACAACGGCAGGGGTAGATGTGTGCCTGTATAATCCTATGGGTTTAGCGCTTCCCCCTTGATTATAATAATAATAATCCCCAACACATTCGCCTGTGTGATTGGTCTGTGTTCGCCATGACAGAGGGTCTTCGGAGGAGTGTTAATACAGTAGGCATAGAGCTACTGAAAGGGGCCATAACACCCAATATGTCAAATATCTTGTTACCAGCCATCAAGAGTACGTATGGGATAGACGAGAAGGAGCTCTATGGTGTAGCACTAGCTGCGGTCACCCGCTTGGTTTGTAATGATCCTGTTGGCTCAGGTGTATCAGAAGGTCGTCGACAAGTATCAGGATATATTAATGGAGGTGAATGATGACGTCAGAGTGACCTAATTGACTTATCGAAACGACACACATGTGTCAAACCACGCAATGTGCCTTTCGGGGCAGATGATGCAGATTTACATAATGTTTTCTCTAAATTTGGAACCATGAATATGACCCAACAAGGTACGTGGGGGACTGGTGTTTACACTCGGATACCGGAAGGGATGAACTCTCTCAAGATGTCATTAAAGTACCCCGTGTCATCCTATGTAATCTTGCCGGACTTCAGAAAGCAGGTGATGGTGTCCTATGCTGGACAGCGGCTCACGTGTCCAGTTTACAAGGGGTATGATCACATAGCTGTAGAATATCTTCGTAGGAAGAACCAACAGAGTGCACACAAAGCGGACCTTTCAGAGAAGGCCATGGGTCGTGTATCAAACCCATGATGACCGAGAGATCAACAACATCGAGCCGGAGAGAATTCTGGTGGATGCGGCAGACCTTGCAAGGGCGCCTCTTTCCCTGTTGCATGATAAGGTTCGAGCACGCCCAGAGTCAGAGGACGCAGCGCTGGGGGGACGAGTTGGAAAAAGTGTTAATTACCTGGAGTTTACCTGGAGAGAGTTCCGGGGGTCAACGCCCCCGCGGCCCGGTCTATGACCAGGCCTCATGGCGGATCAGAGCCTGATCAACCAGGCTGTTACTGCTGGCTGCACGCAAACCGACGTACGAGCCACAGCCGGGCTGGTCAGGTACCGACTTTAGGTGCTTGTCCAGTGCCAGCTTGAAGACTGCCAGGGGTCTATTGGTAATCCCCCTTATGTATGCTGGGAGGCAGTTGAACAGTCTCGGGCCACTGACACTTATTGTATGGTCTCTTAACGTGCTAGTGACACCCCTGCTTTTCTTTGACTCTCAGTCTGGTTAGCGGCTTGCTAAAAGCTGAGTCATATTGGGACTTGAGTAGCTCACTCATTTCCTTGCTGTCATCTGTGTAGGACCCATCTTGTTTAAGTAGGGGCCCAATACTCTACGTTGTTCTCGACTTTGATTTGGCATAGGAAAAGAAATACTTTGGGTTTCTTTCGATTTCATTTATGGCTTTTAGTTCTTCCCGCGATTCCTGTCTCCTATAAGATTCCTTTAGCTTAAGTTCGATGCTTGCTATTTCTCTGACCAGTGACTCCCTACGCATTTCAGATATATTGGCCTCTTTTACCGGCTCTGTTATTCTTTTCCGTCGCCTGTAAAGGGAGCACCTGTCTCTTTCTATTTTACATCTACTCCTCCTTTTTCTTAAAGGAATAAGCCTTGTGCATACATCGAGTGCCACCGAGTTAATCTGTTCTAGGCATAAGTTGGGGTCTGTGTTGCTTAGTATATCTTCCCAGCTTATATCGGTTAGGACTTGGTTTACTTGGTCCCACTTTGTTTTTGTTATTGAAGTTGAATTTGGTGAATGCTCCCTCGTGACTAGTCTCATTATGTCGGTCTGGGGCTCCGCGCATACATGTCTGAACCTCAATTATGTTGTGATCTGAGTATATTGTTTTTGATATGGTGACATTTCGTATCAGATCATCATTGTTAGAGAAGATGAGGTCTAGTGTATTTTCCAGTCTAGTAGGCTCTATTATTTGCTGGTTTAAATTGAATTTTGTGCAGAGATTTAAAAGCTGGTGTGTGTGTGTGTTCTCGTCAGAGCTGTCTCCTGGTGTTATTACTGCAACAACATTATTTGCTATATTCCTCCATTTTAGGTGCCTTAAGTTGAAATCCCCCAGGAGCAAGATGTTGAGGACAGGAGCTGGCAGATTTTCCAGACAGTGGTCAATTTTTAACAGCTGTTCCTGGAATTGCTTGGACGTTGCATCCGGAGGCTTGTAGACTACCACAATGACTAGGCTTTGGTTCTCGATCTTTACTGCTAAAACTTCCACTACATCATTTGAGGCATTAAGCAGTTCTGTGCAAACAAGTGACTCTGCGATGTACAGGCCAACCCCCCCTCCCTTTTGCCTGTTCACTCTGTCGCATCTGTTTAGGTTGTAACCCAGGTTTTCCCATGGCCTGGATGTTTTGTATCTTTTTGTCCCCTTTAGATGGTGTGCCTGGCAATTTAAGTTATAGCACAGTCTTTCCTGTACTGAAGAGGGACACATTTTAGGGTGAAAAAGCTTGCAGGAAGGGAGTTTGCATTTTCCTGTTGTCATATGGGCATTGCATTTTCTAGGGTGGTCATAGTTGCACGTCCCATCTGTTTTTCCAGATTTCCCATGCCTGCAGACTAGCAGAGACTAGCACCTTCCCGAAACTACTCAAGATGGCAAGGGTTACACCAATACATAAAGGTGGTGACCCTACAGACTTAAACAACTATAGGCCAATATCTAACTAACCATTGCTATCCAAAATCTTTGAGAAACTCGTGCACAGGAGACTGTATTCATTTATAACGGCTCAAAACATACTCAACCCCTGCCAATTTGGATTCAGGAAAAATAAAAGCACTAATGATGCAATCATAAAAATGCTAGATCTGCTTTACACAGCATTGGAAAATAAGGAATATCCACTAGGATTTTTTATTGACCTAAGAAAAGCTTTTGACACAGTAGACCACAACATCCTACTCCACAAACTTGATCATTACGGTATAAGAGGCCATGCGCTTGCTTATTTCAAATCTAACATTACTAATAGGTATCAGTATGTCACCATTAAAGACACAGCATCAGCAACACGGCCACTTGATACTGGAGTTCCGCAGGGAAGTGTCCTTGGTCCCCTGCTCTTCCTCATATATATCAATGACCTTCCAAACGTATCCCAACACCTGAAACCCATTCTCTTTGCTGACGACACGACTTATGTCATCTCTCACCCTAATCTTGCCACCCTCAACACCATTGTGAATGAGGAGCTGATCAAAATATCGACTTGGATGACAGCCAATAAACTTACGCTTAACACTGACAAAACCTACTACGTATATTATGTTTGGTAGCAGAGCAGGAGATGCACAAATTAACATTAAGATTGACAACACTCTAATTACCAGAAATAATGGGGGCAAATTCCTAGGCTTATACCTTGACAACAACCTGAATTTCAGCACCCATATCCAGCATATAACCAAAAAAGTCTCCAAAACGGTTGGGATCCTCTCCAAGATACGATACTACGTGTCGCAAAATGCCCTTCTCACACTATACCACTCATTTATCCATACCTCACCTATGCTATTTGTGCTTGGGGATCAACTGCAGCAACACACCTAAAGCCAATAATAACCCAACAAAAAGCTGCAGTAAGAATAATCACTAAATCCCATCCCTGGCAACACCCCCCCCCCACTCTTCATAGACCTAAACTTACTCCCAGTTCAGTACATCCACACTTACTACTGTGCAATCTACATCTACAGGGCCTTAAACTCTAATATCAACCTTGACCTAAAACTCTT